AGCACAATTTTACACTAAAATACTATAGACAATTTACCAATTAAAATTCATCAAATAAACTCACAATATGCAAAATTAACCTCCTCTCAGCTTGCCAAATTTATAAATGACAACCTTCAAGATTTGATTTTAGTACAGGAATCTTATTGCATAAAAGTAGTCCCAAGTAATTGGAATATTTTTCAAAGCACCCCGAATGATCAGAGATGCTCAGTCAGAGCTGCTGTCATCTGCATCAAGGAAAATGGAATCCAGTCCTAATAAGAGCAGAAAGAGATGTAGTTATCCTTTGTCTTAACACTTAACACGATCAACTCCTGATAACGTTGTTCTACTCATCTCAAGAAGAAGACCTCATCATCATCCCCAAAATTAGTAGCGGGCGACTTTAATGCCCATAACCGGATATCGGGATACCAACACAACAATAGCAGAGGGGATCTGCTGGAAGACTATTTCTGCTAATAACATAGGTATTCACAATAATAGCTCTTTTCAAACAACTTCAGGAAGAAGATGGCCTGATTTGTCTCTCTCACTCACCATCTTAGCAACTTTAATTGGAAAACTTTTGAACATGAAGAGAAGAATCCTTTCCTGACTATAAATCTGTTAGCTTTGAAATCAATGAAAAAGTTGGCATCAGTAATACTCTGCGTTTTAGAATCACAGACAGTGGTAAACAAAAAATTTATTTGGCTATTCAATACACACTCTTACAGATTTTATACAAAAGCCCTGAAATGAAATCTTTAAAATCAAACAGAGTATCCAAACTCATGTTAACTGGTATACAGCAGCCAAACTAAGTGCCTCAAGAAACAAAACCAAAGTTTTCAAAAGAAAGCTGAAAAGCGAGCACTCCTTTAGAAGAAGAAAGAAATAAAGCATATTTAGATTCTGCAAAGCAAAAAGCTATTTCTATAAGGGAATTACCAGAAGCCAAATTAAATAGTTGGAAAGAATTCTGCAGCAACAATATTAATACCTATGGAATTCACCACAAAATCTCAATAAGAAAAGTTTTTTTAACCAACACAAATCAATCTATCAGTTGTTCAAATTTCATGAACATGTCAGTTGATGCAACATTGTTCTCGTTGAAAGAAATAATAGATCCTGTTTTTATATAGAACTCTTCTGAAAATGATACATGAGAACAAGGTGCAGTCAGAAAAGATCAAAGCATTTCAAATTTCAAGGAATACCACTGTTTTACTACTAAAGAAATGCACAACATATTCAAAGTAAAATAAAAGCCTTTCAAATAAAAAGGTGCTAGACCTGGACAGGATAAATAATAAAAATCATAAAACTAATTCATAAGGCCTCATTCCAACTACTTACAGATTTATTTAATAAATGTTTCCAACTAGGAATGTTCCCCAATGTCTTCAACACAGGCCATATCATCCTTTTCTCCAAAAAAGGCCAAGACCCAGCAGATACATTTTGATATAGGTCCATAAGTCTCCAGCAATCTGTAAAGTTCTGAAAAGAGCCTCTGGCAAAAGAATAAGGTACCTCTTTTATAAATTTCAAATAATCAGATAGAATCCGTCATTCTACTATCATGTTGTAAAAGAAATATTGAGGCCAAAATAACACAATAAATCACAAAATTTTCATTCTGCTTTGATCTATGTTGACTTAAAAAAGGCACTTGATTCGTCTGATGGCCTGCTGTATTTCAAGTTGTCAGACAGATAAACATTCCAAGAAATATCTTTATTATTAATCAAAACTATCTGATAAAAAGGAGAAGTACAATCACCTATAATAACTGAACAGTATAAAAGCGCCATACAAGTAGATATCGACAAGAATCCTGTTTTAGTGCGGATCTCTGGATTCTTACCTTTATCATATCACATGAATGGCCAAATCAGACAAAAGTCCTAGCATTCTCAGACACTTCCACATTCATCATCTCTTGCAAAACAAGAGAACAACTCAAAGATAATACCAACTTTTTCCTGCAATCTTCAATCAACATTGTAACGCACAAAAACTAAAATTTTAGAGGAAATGTCCAAAGAGATGATATTTCACAAATCTGGCTAAACCATACAAAGAAAACCAGCCTTTGAATGAATTTTCTTAGAATTATAGTAGACAGAAAACTCAACTGGATACAGTACCTTCAAAATATTAGAATAAAAAATCCTAAAATTCTCCAAGAGAAGAATGAGGGGATATGATTGGGGCTTAAACCCTCATATCCAAAAGCTACTATTTAACACCGTGATAGAGAAAATTAATTACAGAGCTGCTGTCTGGGCAATCCCTGTGACAGAAAGGAAGAAGCAACAGTTCCGTGCACTTGAACGACCATTTCTCCTCAACATTACAAAATCTTTCTGCTCCACATCTAATGCTGCGCTGTGCATGCTCTCGAGAATACCTCCTTTATATCTTCCATTGGAGCTAGAAGCGTTTAAAACCAAAATATTACACAATCAACAATATCGTAAAATACCTGTGGAATAAGGGCAAGATATTTGTGAGCAGTATCTGTTATGAAAGTCTTTATATTAATACACAAATTCTTATAAATAATAACTGCATAAAAACATTTTGGAAATTTCACATGGAGCTTCCATAGGACACTTCACTGAATCAGTAGCATATTACTACCTGTATCACCATACGGTGCCTTGTATGCTTATTCCTGTCCTGTAACTGTGAGAGCTCTTTTAATTTAAATCATTACATTCTTGAGCGTGTACCTTCAAACAATAATATCTGAAATTTCATTTAAGTTGGTTGAGTGGACAGGCCATTAGGAGTTCATATACTGGGGAAGTTTTTTATGACCACCTTGTATATAATTAACTTATCACATTTATGAATACTAAATATGTTTTTGAGTGTGTGTGCATGTACATGAAACATAATAAATATATAAGTCACAATTGTAACTTAAATTGCCAATGGCCCCCGATTCTCCATTTTAATTTGGGTCTATTCTTGTCTATTTTAAAAACAGAAATTGCTTACAATAATTTTCTCTGACTGCATCATTTCTAGATTAATCAATATCATATGATTTTTCCATAGCATTCTGATAAAGTAACTTACATAAGCCTTGAGCCAATTATTTTAGAGCTATTTATTAAACCCTTCACTCCCAATGACATATGATATGGCTCAGTTTTCCTCCATGGGCTCATCATATGAAATGTGATGTGGCAGCGAAGTGTCACTGATGGCCCACCATATCATGATATGCTGAAATGGAACATTTCATTTTACATTTTAAATGCACGTAAATTATGTCAGAATGCCGCAAAACTTGCTGAATAAAAATGTCTAGAGTGCTAGAATTGTTGAGATGAATATTATTTATCACTTTATGCTACGGAAGTTAAACATGCAATGCTAATGATGTATGTTCATAATTTAAAAAGATTCCATGCAGTGCAAGTGGCTTAAAACTTCTGTAGGTAAATATGGCAGTAGGACTGATATTTAAATGTTCAAGTTATATAAACATTGATATTCAAATGCTCAAGTTTCTTTCTTCATTATCATATACAAATAATTTACATTTCGGAATATAATCATTATTACTAATATTGCATTTTTCCTGAATTTTTATTTTAATATTAAATATTAGGATTTTTCCGTTTGTATGATAAGAAATAACATTTAAACAAATTAAAAAATTTATATAAAAACTTATTTCGTACGAATTATTTTCACATGTTAAGCTTAATTCCAAAATGCACATTGGCACACAATGATGCTTAGCGTTCAAATGTCCCAGCACAGGGAAGGAAATTCATTTGCTCGATGTCAGGAGCAAAGAGGTTAATTATCAATTTGTGCAGCAATGCCAGTTAGAGATAAGTCTTCATGAAAGTTTACTGCTCTAGGTGTTGAAGATACCAAAAGACAGACTTTATTGCCATTATCAGTACATGTAGGATACACTTCCATGAAGATGACAACCATGAGGTAGAACCCAAAGAATGCGTTACTTCAAACATCTTTAATTTAAAATTAGGCAAAAAAGCAACCTTAGTTTGGCATACATCTTGAATAAAACTTTACTGATTTTGAGAGCTATCAGACAAAGGTCTCAATACAGAAAAAAAAAAAAAAAAAAAAAGTAAAATGATAGCGATAGCCTTTTTTTTTTTTTTTTTTCTTTTTTTATCAAAAGCAACAGCCTTTACATCCTCAAAATCAATGCAGTTTTATTCAGAAATCTATTTCAAACTAAGGTAGCTTTTCTGCCTAATTTAAAATTTTACACTGCCAAGTTTCTCTTCGATTTTGTCTCCTTTAATCCTGCAAGTTCTTAAATCTTGGTGATTCGATCCTTATCACAGTTCACATCTTTGACTTACTGACAGAAAGCTGCTTCTATGTGTTGTATTAAAGTTCGACCAAGAGGGTTTTATCAGGTAATGACATGTGAATACTGTAGTAGATCTGAGCCTGGCAATTCCTATGATAGCTGACACTTTCAAGTCATACTTCTAGTATAGGCCCACCAGTTACAGAATGTTTAAGTCCACAGACATAAGTTCAAATATCAGTGAAAGAGCTAGCTGCATGGAGTTCTTATGTTTCCTCTAAGTATAATACAAATACCTGCTATCTTTACTTTAAAACCTTCCATGAAAGCTAATCTCCCCATAGTCATGTACATCAGGTATCTTTTGCCTTAATCCATTAATCAACTTAATAATGCCTGCTGGACACAATTGCAACAAAAATATGCAAAATAAAAAACTTTAAAAAATAGCCCTATGCAATTTTATACTTGCCAGCACTAACAACATTGTTAATTCAGAGAAATAAAAATTTTTAAAACATTTTCTGACCTTTCACCTCTCCATAAATTAATGATAGCTCTTTGCTTTAACACATTTTACACCTCTTCAGATTATGAAGAATTTTGTGGGAAAGCTCTACTTTCATACAGCAAGGGAAAATACTTTTATAAAACAAATGAGAAATTTAAATTAATAAACATTTATCACACATACTTAGCATTTGCAGCTTTTGAAGCAACCCAGGCATGCATTTCAGAAGAAACCAAATCTTCTGTTATTGAGAGATTTGCATTATGTACTCTTCTCATGAGGTTTCTGGGGGGAAAAAAGAAAAAAGATTCTTACGTGACAAAATAAATAATGACAAGGTTTTTTTTTTCTACAGTTATTACATTCATAATCCCTATTATTTTATAAATGAAAAATAACCAATTAATAATTTTAGCAAGCTATCAAGGAATATTTTTTTTTTTTTTTTTGTCAAATATAACTGCCTTCTGCACCATTTGAACTGTATTTTTTAAACTTTTTCTGAAAGAAAATTTTTCTTAATTTTTTTTCCAAAAGAATTGGAAAATCTAAAGTGAATTACTTTACAAATCTTTTCAAAAACTGGAAAAATATATAAAAAACTTTGACAATAGATTCAGAGCCTTAGTACACTGATAAGAGTTACATCCTCAATAAATTATAAAAATTGTTCTCAAAGAAATACAGAAAAGAGAACATCTTTTACCAAAGGAGATGGTGAAATACAGATAGAATGTCCACAACATTTGATAAATGTAAACTGACAAAATCTCAGTCTAATTTGAGAGTCTAATCTAATTAGGTGGTTCCACAAATAATGTTACCGAGGAGAAATTAATATCCCTTCGTCGGCAACATAAACAAATATGCAAGAAAAAAGCTATGAAAACTAAAACAAGCTGGGTGAAAAAGGTACAAATTTTCCATTAAAAAATGAAATAATTTAAAAATCAGTTGATTGGAAAGCTTGTACCTGACCCACTGATTTAAGTAATTAAACTTTTATGGATATGAAAAATTTAAAAACTAATTCAGCAACAAGAGAAGTTTTATGAACAATTCTGACATATGAAAAAGATTAAATAAGAAAAATGATGAAAGATTCTGAGCATTCAAAAATTCTGATTCTTTTCTCTGAGCATGATTCATCAGTAAAGATTTATTTTTTATACAAAATTTTAAGAACACTTTTACTTTAAATGATATCACAATAGACTTTCCTGTAAGCTGCTTAAAGATGAGTGCTCCATATTGTGAATACATTTTTGGTTACTGTTAATACAAAATTCACAATAAAAGCATTTACATTATTGAACATGAACCAAAGAACGTCCAATTTTTAAATATATTAAAGTATATTTAAACACCAGTGTTTTGTGATTACTAATAAAATATTATTTTCTATATTGCTAGTCGAAAGTTTTCAACTGATCAGTGCTTAAATTGTGTCGGAGACCCCTTGAGCTGAGCTCCGGTACTTCTCAATTTTTAAGATAAATTACAATTCTAGCTGGAGCACACAGAAGTCCTAAATAAGATGAGCTGTGGTACTTTTTTTTTTATAAAACTGAACCACAATTTAAAGGAAAAAAAAATTTAGAATTCCTAATGTTTTAGTTTAACAATAAGCAGACCTTGCAATACTCTGTTTCCCTAGAAATACAAACTCATGAGAGCATGAGACATTCAAGTAAAGTCCCCTCACTCACATGTGGAAACCTTTTCCTTTAAGGAGGGCAATAAATTTAGGGGAGTTTATTTAGGAATGCGTAAATTTTTTGCCGTGCCATCGTATCTAGTATATTGTTATCGAAGCTTACAGTTCGTCATAGGAAGGAAAATTTGTGTTCTTAAATGTGCGTTAAGTTACAGCGAGTACAATAACAGTGAAATACTAAGATAAACTGCTCAAGCACGTCCTATACATCGTATTCCCAAAGTATCCACTAATGGGGCAAAAGCGTAACCAGCAACTTTACATTCAATCCTTAGGAGTCAGATTCAGGACTCATTTTACCCCTGACACACATCTGCTTGATGCCTATAATTATATCAGTAAAGAGCTGTGGTCTCTCTCACCAAGATTTCCCTCATTTTTTGTTTACATCCCACTCATACGCTCATTCTGTCTTGCCCTGGAATTTTCATCAGCTGTACTTTAAGTATACATAATTTTTGTGATGATAAAAGGACTTCCCCTCCCTACAATCAGAGCTTAAATTGAGCCGGAGCCCACCGGATCTCGGCCCAGTGCTTCTTAGTTTTTGTAATAAATCATAATTCTTTCTGGAACACACCAGAGACCTGAACAAGAAGGCTGCGGCACTTCTTCTATGTAATTGAATAACAATTTCAGTAAAAATTTTATCTCAAAAATTTTATTTTAACAATAAAATTATATTAAAAATCGCTTATTAAAGTTCAATTTATCTCTTTACATTTTATTTAATTTTTATTACTTCATTCTTTATTGATTTCAATAAATAATAATTAATTACCTAAGAATCATCAATTAAATTATAACTAATTAATTAGATAATAATTATTGATTAAATAACAATTTATAAACATTAATTAAATAGCTATTAATTAATTTGATAATAATTAACAATTTAATTTTAAAATTATTAATGAGTTTAATAGTCATTTTATTTATTTATTTACTCTTGTTCCTCTTTGCTGACGGTCTTCCATAGGGCACCGGCACTTCTAATCTTAGAAATTAAGCCCTGAACTGATTCCACTACACTTCATACAATATGCTATCATTTATCCAACACTTTATGTTAAGACGCAATAACACGCCGAACAAATACTAATTCAGAAGTCAAACAACAACAATCAGCATTATTTTTTCAAATTTTCACAGTATTGTATCATTATTTTCATTCAACATTTCATAATTATATTAATACATTAATAATATTCATGTTTAAGGTCTACATAATTAAAAGTATACAGAATTCACATATCATTAGTTGCTTTTTATGCATAAAAATTAATTAATAATTAATTCACAGATGGTATGCATTTTAAACTGCAATTTTGAAGTTTATTATTTAGCTTAAAATGTTGCTTAAAAAACTCAAATCTAGTAAATTATTTCCTTCAGTGTTGCTTTCTCTACAATCAATATTACATTTTCAAGTAAAAAACTGATTATATAGATCTATACTGTTTGCAAAGCAGAAGGCAATACAAATAAAACAGAAACAGCATAGTACCTCAGATTTCTGTGGATCCGCTAAATTTTTGAATACTTGGCAATTAGAATGCATTTCATGAAAAACAGATAAATTCATTTCAGATTTTTAACAATAAAATCCAGTTGAAATATTAATTTTCATAAAACTGTTTACTTTAATACTTAGCATACTTACAGATATAAAGTAATAATTTAATTGGCTACTTCCACAAGTGATGGAGGATGGGGATATCTGGTGGTTAACTGAGGTAGCAGGTATTTGTTCTGTATAGCAGGCAGCACCTGAGAGTACTCTGAAATCCATTATTCACTACTTTTTAGTTAATTTCTAGGATGATCTTGTATCATGATGAGCTAAATGATATACTACCAGATATTTTGTGAATTTATTCATCTTATTTGGAAAGCTAGAATATTTATGAACTAGGAAAGTGGTATTTTTTAAATTTAAATCATTCCTCCACAGCTGGAAGGAAAACTTTTGTATTATCATAACAAAATGGGCAGCATTTTACCTATCAGTTAACCAATTCTTTAGTCATACACATCTGACATATCAAATGGTTAAACATGCATTACATATTAAGATATATGGTACTCAAATATTAAACTTAAATTCTAACTTCTCCAACATATATATTACATAAACTTTATTAAAATGTACACTGTGAAAAAAAAAGTTTGAGATATTAAATTATGTTGTAAGGTATTTCTCCCGCTTTCCAGCGTGCCTTCGTGGTGTAACAGCAGCACACTGGGCCGGTATTCCAGAGGTCTGTGGTTTGATTCCTAGCGAAGGCATTGCTAATTTTTCCTCTCTCTGGCTCAAAAAAAAAAAAAAAAAAACCTAATGTCTCTAGAAGTGGCGCCCGAACTAAAAGGGTTGTGGATGATGATTCTCCGCACCCAGGATTTGGCGACTAGGTCCCCTAAAACCCTAGTCGGACTTTAAAAAGGGGAGTATGTAAGGTATTTCTCCCGCTTTCCAGCGTACATTTGTGGTGTAACAGTAGCACGCTGGGCCGATATTCCAGAGGTCCGTGGTTCGATTCCCAGCGAAGGCATTGCTAATTTTTCCTCTCTCTGGATAAAAAAAAAAAAAAAAAAAAATACCTAATGTCTAAAGGAACTTTTTTTTTAACATTTTGTGTGTTGACTTTCTTTATTAAACGTCATGTTCTTTGCACTTAAACCACAAAATTCAGTTCAACAGTAATATTGCAACATAATTTTAAAATGAACATATCTTTAGAATTTCTCATACACAGATTCGCACGCTGGAAATAAAAAGGTATCCCCCCGGGGTACAGTGTTGCCATTGTTTGCTTTTAAATTGTTGAGTTGGTTAATCAAAAATTTTTTAAAGTTTTACAAAATCTGAAATAGATTATAAAACAAATTCGAAATTTGGGCTTCCAGATGCCGATATTTGGGTGGAAATGTATGTTATTCAAAATTGGATAGCTCTAGATACCGTTGTTTTATCACAATGTGAGAATCATACATACATTTATGCAGATTCTTTATTATTTAATTTCTTTAAATATAATATGGGGTGATAATATTTGGTGGCAACAATTGGAAAAGTGAATCGGACATTTACAGTGAACCAACACAAAATGCCAAAACAAAAGGCAAATTGCCCCTTTGGACTTTTAAAAGTCGTTTTTTTAATGTTTTGTGTGTTACCTTTACTTATTAAATATCATGTAGTTCTGGAGATCATAGATCAAATATGAAAATTCTCTTAATTTATTTCACCAGTGCACTTGTGCGATTTTTACATACTTGGTAATTTGGCATAATTTGGGTCGTAGAATCGAAATATGTAAACAAATTGCCATGTCATTTCAGAAAAAGTCCGATTTTGTGTCAAAATGATTATATTTGAACAGTGCTATATATAAAAATGTAACACATATCCGCTATATATAAAAATGTCTATAATAAGTGCTATATATAAAAATGTCGCGCTTTCGAGAGATAAAAAACGAAAGTTGAATTTCATCAATCGGCCCAGTAGCATGGGAGATATAGAACTGTCTCCCCTTTTTCTTGCTCAGTGTATATTAAGACATTAATAACTGACACAGCATATATCTTATAAAAAAGACGATATAAGGTCTTATCAGTGTTATCTAGTTTAATGCCAAAGTAGTCCTTATAATTTATCAGGTAAAATAATATCAGCTTATAATCTATCAGGTAAAATAATATCAGCTTATAATCTATTAGGTGATAAAAATCTTTTAATATTTTGTACAATCAAAAAACAAATAAATTAGAATACCTGGAAAAGAATACTATATTGTATAATAACTTACAAAGTTGTTGAAAAGAGAGGAACAACAATGGGATAAAAGCCTTGCCTAATAGCAATAAAAGCTCCTACATAGGTACAGTACACCTGAAGTTCAAATCTTTGTCTATAAAAAGAAGGGGAAATAATTATATTTCTTTACTATTTAAATATACAGACTTTGTTTTAGTTACAAAAGTGTCCATATTTAAACATACAGCATAAGCAGGTACTTAACAAGGCATTGTTATGAATGGATCTTAAAACCAATGTGTAATTTATGGGAGCTAAATAAAGCTTAGATAGTTAGAAAGAGTTTACTCCCAAGCTACAATGTGCAAAATGTGAGGACTGTAACATGATAAAATACATCAGCAGAATTATACCAAATACTAATTTTCTGTAGTAATTAGAACCAAGAACAGAAATGCATATCTGTGATATTTAATTGCTCCTGCAGTACTTTGGTAAAAAAGTAAACTTTTTATAGTTGTGATATCCTTAAATAAATAATACAAGTACAGCAGTTTTGGAAGTGATACTGTAAAGTACAGATTCAGTATTTGTTCATCACTGCATTAATCATTCAAGATTAGTCTAAAACATCAGGATTTCTTACCTTCACATATACATACATATATAATGAAAGAGTCTATAATATTGATAGCATAAAACATTGATCTATACTAAAAAGCAAACTCGCAGCTGAGGCAGATTGAATATTCATCTTTATTTCAGTTGATATTTGCAGCCACAATTCACTTGGCACTCAGGTTATGCCTATTCAAGAACATTTACATTTTTGATGATACTACGATAAAAAGACAGCAGTGAGGCAGAATCTTAACGGGAACAGAGGTAGAACCAAAAGTGCACAATTATTCCAGTATGGCAGCTTATTAAGGAAAAAGTTTCAACTTAAGTTCTGAATTAGTTACAGACATCATCAATGTTATGCAAGATATGGACTAATCTAGAAATGATGCAGTCCAGAAGCAGTTATTACTATTTTTAAAATATAGAGAGGGACTTACCAAAATTAAAAAAAATAATTAAGGGACTGTTGCTAATTTAAATTATAATTTTGATTTACATATTGTTTATCTTACATATATACAAGAGAAACAGAAAGTATATTATAAATGTGCATTGTTGCATACAATAAATTTACCATTACGTTTTCAATGCTAACAATATTTTAGTATATGTATTTATTAATTAAGCTTTATACACAAATAACCTCTTATGTATTGTGTTTAGTATTATACTCACTAATTTCTGTAGAATATTGCCCTGCATAAAATAATACTACATGCTGTACATGGTACATGTGTATATAGTATATGCAAGTATGCATCTTTCACTTTCTCTCTGTCTGTTTAGTATTATACTCACTAATTTCTGTAGAATATTGCCCTGCATGAAATAATACTACATGCTGTACATGGTACATGTGTATATAGTATATGCATGTATGCATCTTTCACTTTCTCTCTGTCTATATATATATATACACACAGGTTCACAAACTCACACACTAATAACATTATACACCTAAGACCTTTAATTAACATTACCAAAACCTATGTGGAAAATCTTAAAATAAAACAGAATATGAACACTATATAAAATATGGCAAATGTTCACAGAAAACTGAAAATTTAAGTTAAAAATATGAATAAAAAATTATTGTTACAAGCAAATACTGGCCAATGATGAAACTGTTAGTGTTCATTGCTGTTACGTAAAACACAGACAAATTTTTTTTATTGAATCATATAAGCACAGTTTTGTTCTATGAATTTCTGCTGTCTCTCTGCAGCTTCAAAATTCTTTTTTTAAAAATGGCATTAGGTTTATTCATAAAGAAGTTATAAAGGTGCTGTTTCACAATTCTCCAAAGATGTAAACTTCAGTCACTCAGAGAATCTGGAAGAGACATGAAGAAATGAAATTCTGATGGGCAAGGTCTAACAAATACGAAGCTGGGGGATACAAAACATCCTACACAATAACTCTTTATCTGCCATTTATCAAAATGTTGGGCCAAGCATTGTCATGAGGGAAGATAACATTTCAGTGATTGGTCAATTCTGAGCACTTTGCTACAATTCCTGCTTTTAAAACTGTCATTTAGAAATAGCAATCTTCCACAGCTTCAAAAGTTTTGGTATTTATCTACATTTTCTATGCTTTTCCATGTTTAACACAAAACACATTAAAAATTAATCTAAATTTAAACAAATGGAGGGGGAGAATGATCATTTAGCAATGGTGAAAGAGGTGCATGTGACAAAAAAGCTTGACAGCCACCATGCTAAAAAAAGCAGACAGCATACAACGATCAAAACATAGAAATAAATGACAAGACCTTAAGCCTAGAAGCAAATTTAATCAAATAATATCTATAGATTAAATTGGATACCATAGCAAAGTCAACTAGTGATGCCACTACTGGGCTAAAAGCCATACAAAAGTAAGAATAAATTCATGAACACAATAATGCAACTCAAATTGATTATGAACATGTCTCCTTCCTCAGGAAACATTTTTTCAAACAATTTTCTGAAATTTTAAAACATACAACAAACATGTTGATTCAATGCTAAAAAGAAAACCTATTTATTTTTTTCCCAGTTCCAGTTAATTTTATATGAAAAACAATATTTATTTTTTGTTTCTGGAAAACTTTCATGAGGTAAGCATAACATTTTTTAAAAAAAATTATGAGAAACCAATGGATTTCACGTTGATTAAATTAGTAGAGTTAGAATATTCCATCCCTCCCAACTTTATCACTAAAAAGAATCTTACATCTAAGCATTTAAGCCTAACACAATTGTCGAGTCAAATGCCGATAATTATTTACTCAGTTTTTGTGCAGTTTCTCTTAATGGCTATATAATTTAAATTTCACCTGGTTAGATGTGAAACGCAGCAGTCTGGCTGCAACAGAAAAATTTGCTTTGTCAAAACCTAAACCATTTCTTAATGACATCATCACAGTTGTTGTGTGAGCCTCATGCATGATGCTTCAGCTTTTTTGGGAAAAAATTACTTGGATTGAAATTACTTGGAAAATTAGGTTAGGTAAGTATAATGAGTAGTATATGTGTTTGGGGGGGGTGGTAGTTGGAATATGAATTGCTCAACAGCAGTTTGGGAAACTTGATCTCTGTTAGTAAGCACATTGTTACATTTTTTGCTGAATTTCACATATTTTCCTTTTACGGGTAAAAGTTAGGTCAACAATCAGGTATAACAAAGACCTATTATCCTTATGTTTGGAAAATAATTAATGTGAAACAGCACTACTTCATTACCAAAGAGGGTAGAAAAATATTCCAGAAAGGCTTCTGTGCTCTGAAATTTAGTGTTCAGAGTTATCAAATGAGCTTCCATATTAGGCTTTCCTGTAGCATTTCTGGGTCACACTGGTAAATATCCAGAACAAACAACTTAATTTTTCTTCATTCTAGTGTCAGCCTTTAGGTACCCATCTAGCATATCATCCACTTTTCAGCCAGACCTTTTTCCATCAATTCAGTGCTAATGCTCATATCTGTCTCAATTTCAGAAACTGTCAATTATAGATTTTTCATTGTATGTTCCTTGACTTGCATACATATTTCAGTTGTCATGTCCCCACTATGGCCTTGTCTAGGGTCAAGAGACTCTCTTCCCTGAGAAGCTCAACTTTAGATAATGGTACATGATAGTGCAGTACAGAGTGCAATCATACATTCATGTGCATTTTGATACTGTTGCATTCCCCCCCCCAAGAACTCAGTACATCGAGCAATGTTTGATATTTTCAATATTCACACCTTTAAGAGCATCAGAAAAATCATCTGATAATTACCAGAATATTTCAGTGTTTCTTTCATTCCAGAGGTAAATTTCCAGTTATATAAAGAATTTTTACACATGTTCTGGACATGATATATATATATCCCATATACTGGGTAATCCAAATCTAACCGAAAAAGCAAAAAGTCAATAATCTGAAAAGTATAGACTGTATCACAAAGCAATTTTTAAAGAAATGCACAAGAAATATGAAATATTTTAATAAAAAAATTGCTAGAATAATTACATTTTCCACCAACAGATGGCGCTGTAACGGTCTTCGAGAACTGGCACTGTGTATGAGAGTATGTGACAATTATTCATGATCATCCTCAATCCTTACACAATACAATACATTATGGAATTGAAACCAGCAGATTTGCAGATTAGCTGTCAAATGACCCATGGACTGACAAGAAGCAGTTTCTGCTTAATAGAAGTTTAAATGACACCAACATGTTCCTTTTATATGACAGTTAATATGACTTTAGAAACTGCTTTGCATCAGCCAAAAATGACAGGCTTAGTTCAGGGTCACTGCATCATTCATTTTAGTCCCCCTTTTGACTTGAAAAGGCTACAGCAGCAAATTTCAAACTGTTCCCGTCACAGCTGAGTATTATGTACCACTTTAAAGACACCAACATTTCCTCCTTGTAAAAGAGGTAAGTACTCCATAGTATAATATTCATGCAAAATTGAAATTGCTCAGCCAAGTTCTGCCCAGCAGTGGCTTTGACTGATATTTCATCATGTATCTGTTCTTATTTGCGATTTCCTGCATAAGTGGCCATCAAGATTTCAAGACCTGACACCTTGTGACTTTTAGTTATATGGCTATGAGAAGTTACAGGTGAATGCATGCCAGTGGACATTATCGACCATACCGAAACAAGTTATTCACCATCGACAGAAATTACAGCGAAGGCCTCTACAGTGCTGTGAAGGTGTAGAGACTTGTGACACAGATGATGGCCATTCTCATTAATGAGAAGCAACAAACTGAACATTTCCAATCACAGCTGCAGCATTAACAGCATTGCGCTAATGTATGAAATTCAAATGACTTTTTGTGGCAAACCTCATAACCCCGTAAGTTTTGAATTATTGAACTTTTATTTCTGCGCTACTTTTTGGATCATCCAGTATATCTGACTCATAATGAATTAGAAAGCTATTTTTGTGGAGTAACATTTCCAGGCAGAACTCATTCTGAAAGCAGGCAAAATATTAGTACTGTAATAGAAAAGAACACACATAAACAGAAAATAAATGTTTGAAATAATATCCTTAAAAGGACAAAATTAAAAAAATTTATTTACATAAAAAAAAGTGTGAAAAATTTACAATGCATGAAATATTATTGCATTTCATTAAATGAATGTACAATATAGTTAAAACAGCATTATAACATTTAAATAACAAGAGGAATGTTACCTATCGAAAGAAATGTCTTGCAATAAATGACTGCTGACAGAGCTCATAGCAGTCAAAACTTGCCAGACAGATTCCAGTTTCCAGTCTGACTTTGTTAAGGCATCTAAAATTGAGAATAAAATGATTTAAAAATGTTTTGCCAAATATACTTTCAAATGAAACTGCAGGTAACTTATAAAGCTGACATTTAACATTAATTTAAATGAAATTTCACTTCATTACATAAAATGCAAAAAGTGACAGTTATTACATTGCTGTCTATTAAAATTGCTATACCAGAAAGGAAAGCAAACAGAAGAATGCTATTCATTTTACATATACACTGTAATAGGAAAAAGACATGATTATATTTGCCGGTAGTTTGGAGTATACAGCATGCAGAATTCTGTATAACTACCACCTCTGGAGCAACAATGGCTGCATTTGCTTGGGCATCGAGTTTAATTGAGCTTGGATGATATGGAATGAATGAAGTAACCATTAGGAACATGGAATGAAGTAGCCATTTCATTCCATTCAGCTTCATTTCTATGCCAAAATTCTTCAATCACAGTAGCTGGCGTTCCAGTCTCTCAGCAATCCATGACCAGATAGATGTTCTCAGAGGGAGTAAGAACTGGAGCACATACTGGCCAGGGCTACAGTAAAACACTCTCTGCATCAAAGAAGGTCAGGACAGCTCGAACAACTAATGTTTGTGTATTATCTTCTGGAAAGATCGCATCACACAGGCCTGCCTTAATATGCTAGGTATGTAAGGGCGATTTTCCTCATTACTGGTTATGCAAACAAGAGGTGACTGGGATGTGTACCCAATGGCATTTCGTGCCAGGTGCTAAGCCCACATGACAGTAATGAATGCATGCTGACAGTGCTCATTCTCCTTAGTGCCATCACAGACATATCCATCATGATGATGTATGCAGCATCAGGATTCATCTGAAATGCAACTCAATGCCACTCCTGAATCATTTAGGATCTGCAGACGTTGCACAAAGCAGCAAATGTGTAGCACCTTCCCTTACCATACCCCAACACCTCAAGGGCCAAAAGTGTGATCCCGGCCAACATCAATGCAACACTAATCAATATATGATTATTGGCTATGGTGCTACTCCCCAGCCAGGCAGATGTTTGAAAAAGACATAGAGGAATCTCAGTTAGTTAAGAGAAAAATCTCATTTACAGCACACCTACTTCTTTTCATTGAGTATTATATTCTCCCTGCCTAGATTTTTAATGGGGGGAGATTTTTTTATTATTATTTATTTATTTGGATGGTGGTCTAGAGGTACAAATATTAGGTCATTCCAGATTTCAAACTTTGTAGATAACTATTTCAGGGCTATTTTGCAACAACTGTAATTGCTACTGTGTTTTAAGGCTATTTTCCTGAAAGGATATTTATTATCAATTTCCTTTTAACAGCTATTAAGTTGTGAATGCTAAAAACAACCAAAACTTGAAAAACAATATTAACATATTAAACTTCTGAGTGATAATACTTGTTGCAAATCGTCATCAAATAAACTACTAAATTTATGGCCTAGTGCAAAGGTGCAAGTTTATAAAATAACTGATTTATGATCATTTATCATTGACTAATTAATTATTTATTATCCTTATTAAATGATAATTTAATCCTTTCTTTAGTGCTTAATTTCTAAAATTAGAAGCACCAGAGCGCTATGGAAGACCATCAGGAAAGAGAAACAAAAATGAATAAATAAAATAAATAATAAAATAGTAAAATAATTAAAATTCAATAAAATGAAAAGACAAAAAATTTAATAAATTGTTAAATTAATGGTAACTAGTTAAATAATAAAATAGAATGCAGTTTATTTGGTCATTCCCGATTTCAAACTTTGTAGAGAACTATTTCAGGGATATTTTGCAACAACTGTAATTGCTACTGTGTTTTAAGCCTATTTTCCTGAAAGGATATTTATTAACAATAAACTGAATAATAAAACCCAAATAAACTGAGGTTATTTGCATTAGGAAATCTGAAATGACCTAATGCAAATAACTTCAATTTATTTGGGTTTCCAGCTGGAATTATAATTTCACTCAAAAACTAAGAAATAGCTCAGCCATGCCCAGGGTGAATTTAAACCCTGAATATACAGCATAATATACTACTTCAATGGATGATGAAAACCAAGATCATTCTTTTTTAGAACACCAATGAGAAAAAAGGTTAAAACAGCTAAAGCATCACTAGAATGAAAATATAGAGAATAATATAAACAGTAACAGAGGATGTGTAAGCACAAAAACAAAGAGAAAAAGTTCAGCACTTTCTGCCCATGATCCCCAGCTAATACAATGCTAGTTGTCAAGTAAAAAGTGACAGGGAGAGCAAATCAGAAAGTTAGCTGAGAAATCATGACCATTTTCATCCCCATAATTGTTCCAAAATGTCTGTAGGTGCTCTTTTCCAGGGGATGGCACTAGTGTTAAAATGAAAAATCCACCTTCTGTAATAAATTCTTTGCACTTTCTGGAGTATAACCTTTGATGTATCAGTGGAGCTTTACTTTTCTTAAACGTCTCAACCTCCATCCAAGGGTTTGTTTCGCAGGGAAAGAGAGGCAGGTATTAAAAACTTACAATCGATTTTTAAATAAATTTTATTATTAGAATAACATTTTTGAGATCAAAAGATTTTTTACCTTAAATTGTGGTTCAGTTACATAAACAAAGTACAGAAGCCCTCTTATTCAGGAGTTTGGTGCACTCTGGCTAGACTAATGATTAATATCAAAAATTGAGAAGCACCAGAGCTGGGCTCCACTACAGTATAAACTCTACCTTTTGTAGCAGTACTTACAATGCCAACTTAGATTTCAGTTTCAAATTCATGTATACAATGTTTTGCTCAATAGCATCCAAGTAGGTTTCAGTATAACCCAAATCTGAGAAACCTACAGCCACTCACTGGATGGTCTAGAACTCAAATGGGTATTCTTCCAGATATATTCAAATAGTTTTGGCCTGGTGAGGTAGTACATTGCTTTCTTAAGATAAATATGCCCCTTCAGGATGTATGTAAGCCATGAAAAGTAGAAAATAAGATCCTGGCAGCAGGCAGCATTTATAAACACAATAAACATGATAAGTGCACTCATGTGGCCAATCCAAAGGCTCCTTTACACCATAACAAAGTCAACTCTGATCTGAACAAAACGAGGCTGGCAGGATGGAATCATGGCTTCATGCTGTGAACAAAACATAAGGCCATGCTATGGGTGCAACATGAGGTCATCCTCTTCCTATTTTTCTCTTAAAAACAAAGATACCCATATCTTTCTCGCAGGAACAAGGTTTCCTCTTACTGTACACAGCCTGTAGCCGTTCTTCAGAGTTGTCTTTTTAATATTTCAACCATTAATTGGAGTACAACGTATTTGTTGTGAAATGAACTGAAGTAATAACCGGCGCGAGGCGCTGCTGTTCGTGACGCCAGCCTGTGTGCTGAGTGTTTTTGAATGTTTTGCTTGTAGACGGTACGAAAGCTGATCTCGGAAGAATGATACTGTTTTGATGGAAATAAAGAATGGCTTATTAAGAATTATTTGTCTTTATTCATAATGCACCCAGCCGCGGGTAGAGGCCACCCGCAATCGAACGAACTGTTTTCAATATATTTGATTTATATATTTTCTGTGTTCTTCGTAACATAGTGGTACCCTCGGCGGAACCGGGTGCTGTGAATTAGAATTTTCTGATTTGATCACTTTAAAGGCTCAAAGAAGAGGACTTAGAATTGCATTTTCGCAAACGACAAGGAAAACCAAAAGTGAATTAACTAAAGAAGTAAAAGATTTAAAAATACTTTCGATTTTGAAGTGTCAACTTTGTGATAAAGTTCCAGAGACTTGACGTATGCCAGAGTGCTATATCGCAGCAGATTTTGCAGACTGAAGATGGAGAAAAATTATTTAGTGATGATTTTCAAGAAGCAGAGGATTACCGAGATAAGTTTCTAGAACAGTGTGCTCAAATAGATGCGGAAATACAAGCCTCCTCTCTTCCAAGTAACTCCGAATCTAGGAAATTTAAATTGCCTAAAATTGAGCTTAAAAAATTCAATGATCTCTTGATAGATAAATGGACAAGTTGGAAATAGTATCTCTACCACGTCCTCTTTTGCAAATCTATCTGTGATAGCATTATCCTTCAGATTTATATAGGCTACTATGCACCAAAAATAAAAACTGCTGTGACTAGAAATTTCTCAAGATTGTTAAAGATCTCAGTTCCAGCTTGTCTGACTTGTCCTTAATATCTTTGCTATTTTGAAAGTTTACGATATCAATTGCTGTTGACATGGAAAAAAGACACCGGGCAATAATTTAAATTTCTCCTATCCAACTTGACAGTATTACTATGCATTATATACAGAAATCTATTAGTACTCATTTCTACTACCACCAAAGTAGCTTCTGAATAGCTATGGGTAATCAATTCCAATGCACTGAAGCAAAATCTCAAGTAGTATTATTCCATATTTTGGGACAAAGAAGATTCCTCTATGCTCCTTGATTAAAGAAGCTTTTTCTCTTTAGCCTGTAACTGCTTTGCTAGCTAGCCAGGAAGCCTGAGGTGGTATTTTACAGGTCCTAGTTGTTATGTTTACTGCAGATTTAGCAAGAGAAAGAAACTTTGTAGTTGGAAGTACATATTTAGGATCAATATTTAAGGAATTACAGTTTATAGCCATATTTCATAACTACTTTTTCCTAATTTCCTTTCAAAATGCTTGCAAGTTCATTCTAGTTAAACTCAATTATACTACCACAGATAAACATTTCCTGTTCCCTGACACCACTTGGAATTCAATATAAAGCCTAATGGAATAATTTTTATTTGCCAAAAAAATTCATGTCCTTCAGATCGCCTATAACAACATGGATTTAGCAACTAACAGGATCCTGTAATTGAGAATAATACGCATTAATGAGCAGAACATGCAATTTCATTTGAAAAAAAAAACAATGGCAATGCAATGCAAAAAATTATGATAAATGGTTTAAGTTTTTTGCATGCTATATCTATAAACTGTATTGGTTGATTTTCTAAGTACAGGTTGTGTAC